TGCTTCAGGGAGACCCAGCTATGTTTCCCTCCTCGGGACTGACGCTGCAGGTGAAATATCCGGAAGAAAAGCGGTATGGTCGCCCCGATCCTCAGGTAGCGACACGTCAACTCAAACGCCCGAATGAAGGCGAGAGAGTTTGGATGTAGCTGGGACGGGGCCAGCTCCAGGTGAGTGAAGACCCCGGCCTGGAAATCAGTAAAAGGCAGTCGCAGCCCTAGATCTTTCAACGCGATCTCATACATCGCGAAGCTGTATTCCGGGTAAACCGAGCAGATCCTTGCACGGGATGACGGGCGCATGACTGCGAAGTTCCTTTGGAAGCCGGGCTGGTCTTGACCCGCTTCGATGACAGCGTATGGATGTCGGTCGTCCCGGCTATAGACCGACGCAATCCCCCGGGGCTCGACGCCCACCCATTCCAACAAAGGGTCGGTCACGGTATCAATCAGGGTGACCGACTCGTCGGCGCTCTGTTCTTCACGATCGCGGCGTCCGGAGGAGCTCGGCTCGTCCGCCATGGTTACCTGCAGAGCACGGGAAACCAGTCAGTTGAGCACGAAGCCATACACTCGACTACATAATGCCGTTTCCACGAATGGTTGCCTCCCCGACATCCTGAAACTCGATGTCCTTCCTCAAAACCAACTACGCGATCACTCTTCAAGCATGTCGACCCAAGGTATGAACATGGCGAGCCACACCATGAGGCCCACGGCCAAGACCATGAACATACCGGGCGCGATCATGAATCAGGCGCCCTGGATCATGAAGACCCCGGGCAGCGATGAAGTTTATCGCCTAAAACTATGAAGATGCCGGCCACAAACATGCGTTTTCCGGTCTTACGCATGAATACGTCGAGCTAAGTATGAGTTTACCGGGCTAATCCCACGCGCACGGCCCTAAAACATCTACAAACGCCGAAAATCATGCATTCTAACAAGAAAATGAAGAAGATAGACCACTTACTTGAATCAAAGAGTAGGATTTGACTACAGAATGGAAGAATCTGTGACAGAAAGTCGCAACCGGAAGAAATCTGGGAAAGCAGCAGCAGAGAACAGAAACGTGTTATGGGGCCCAAGGTTCCTATTTATAGTGATGACGTGGAATACCAAACGTCACCTCGGGCAACCACGGATTCCCTCTCCTCGACGCGCTGCTCCCAATGCAATGATGACCCTATCCCCATAGGGTGGCGGCACAGTTCCCGAAAGATACCTCGTATGCTCGACAGACGCGCCCGGTAAGGATCCTCCGCGCATACGCTGCCAAAGGTGTCTCCGAGCACGACACGAGAGGCCCTCGAGGGTCCACACCTCTGTCCCGGGCACGAGACCTCGACGAGGGAACGACTTGGGTTCAAGTCACGACTCCTCGCAAAGGAACCACGACTTGGGGGGCTCCTGTTCTGGACTGGGCCCGACAGGCCCAAAAGCATTGCTAAGGCCCAGTCCAAATGGACTTACTAAGGACCACGCCGAGGTGAGGGGTCACAGCCGTGCCCGACATACTGCGGGCCAGCTCCACATCCTGATGTGGAGCTCGACATACCGCGGTCCAGCGCCACGTCCTGATGTCCAGCTCGACATACTGCGGTCCAGCTCCACGTCCTGCTGTCCAGCTCGGCATCCGCTGTCCAGCTCGACATTGCCTCGAGCATCCCAACTAGGGCGGACTCAGTCCACTGTTCCCCCAACGATACTCCGGAAAGACCGCGTCTCCGTCCGCCCGCACTTCACACAGAACATCCAGGAAGGGGACCACGTGCGGGTCCCCACTACCCACGTAGAACCTGGCAGTTCCTCCATTGGGCCAAACCTGTCCGGCCCAATGAAGGAACCTTGGCCCAGCGCTGGGGGCTATAAATACCCTCTGCTTCCAGAGGGTCAGGTATTCATCATTCTAACCTCAACTTACTATTATCTGCTCGTACTCCTACTTACTTCAGCATCGGAGTGCCTTGCAGGTACCCCCCCCCCCCCCCCCCCCCCCACCTCGTTCAAAAAAGCTTTCTGCTCGGAGCCAGCCGTGACAGTCCATTTCTGATCAGGTCAGATCAATAATATATATTTAAACGGTTATGATTTACTAATAATAATATAAAAAAATTAATCTCTAATAATAATAGTTAAATTGTACTGTTATTTTTTTATTTATTACAAGGTTATACAAAAAAGAGATTTTTTTTTTAAAAAATTAAACACATAAACACACTTTTATAAACACAAATATTTATAAATCTTTAATACTTTCTTTTCTATTTTTAAAAATCGATATAATTTGAAAAATCGAACTATAGTCTTTTTCACCAAATCTAATATTAATCACCACTTAATCCACTAATAATCACATTTTATAATTTTTTAATGACTTTTGTTCAACACTCTATTAATGATTTTGATGCTTAGAGAAGAGTTTTTATAAAAAATTCTTGAACACAATAAATCATTAGAAATTTAACATATAATCAGTTTTATTAAATTAAGTAAAAAAAATATTATGACTTTAAAATACCATACAAACTTATTCAAACTTATTTTGTTAAATTTTGGTGGATTTTTATAAAATAAAAAAGAATTTAATTGAAATACTTAAAACAGTTTTACATTGAGATTGTATAACAATTATTTTTAATAAAAAATCAATAAATTTTGAACTCATATAATATTTAAGAATTTTTTAATACAAATTTTTTATTTTTAAAAATATCTAAAGGTGATAAACAAATTATGTAAATCAATATTACACACAATTAATGAAAATTCTTATACTTACCGTGTTATATTAATATTTTAAAAAATAAAAATGTGTTTTAGTTGCATGTTTATTGTATGTCTCTCACTAATTAAGTAAAATATTCTTTTTGATTATGTAGATTAATGTTAAGGTTTATTTTAGTCTATTAATTTAAAAAAAATTAATATGTCTTTTAATTCTTTAAAATATTTTATTTTAATTTTTTTAATTTAATTAATGACAGAAAAATTCAGAAATCAATCATAAATTTATCGTTAATTAGACAAAAAAAAATTTTAAATAAAACATTTTAAAAAACTAAAAAGATTAATATAAACTTTTTTTTTAATTAATTCGCTTTAACATAGGAAACAAGTTTAAAGGTGATTTTGTTTTTGGTGATGGAGTAAAATGAATTTCTAATTAATTTTATTAGAAATAAATTATTTTGTTCCTGAAATGCACAGTAGAGAGAATGAGCAGTCGAAGATGGAGGATTAGATGATGTCGGAGATGGAGAGGGAACATCTTGTTACAGTGGGCGACGAATCTCATTTTCTCGAAGATGAAGACTTAAAGGTAATTTTTATTTTTATTTTTTTATATCTACGCTCCTTTTTCTATGTTGTAACTCTTAGGTTTTATCACTGTTTTCAGTTTTTACAATCACAGAAATTCACTGTTATCACTTGATATGCAATTGATTTTGTTTGAGGAAATGCTAGATGGACGATACTTCTCTGTGTTGCGAACGATTACCGGATGGAGAATGCATTGAAATTCTGAAAGATGAAGATGATGTACTAATTGGATTAGATTGTCAAAATGATATTTCTGAAGGAAGACAGGAGTTTCTCGCACCCGCTGTTGGAATGGAATTCGAGTCTTACGATGATGCTTACAATTATTACATTTGTTATGCCAAAGAGGTGGGATTTTGTGTCAGGGTGAAGAATTCATGGTTCAAGAGAAATAGCAAAGAAAAATACGGTGCAGTGCTTTGTTGTAGCAGCCAAGGTTTCAAGAGAATTAAAGATGTTAATAATTTGAGAAAAGAGACGAGAACTGGTTGTACTGCTATGATAAGGATGAGGTTAGTGGAGTCTCGGAGATGGAGGATACGCGAGGTAACTCTTCAACATAACCACGTCTTAGGCGCTAAGATTCATAAATCAGTTAGAAAGATAGGAAGTGGAACTAAAAACAAGTTGTTACCTAGTTCTGATGCTCAGGTGCAAACAATTAAGTTGTATCGTGCACTTGTGATAGATGCAGGTGATGGTAATTCGAATTCCAATGCAAGAGACGACAGAGCTTTCTCTGAATATTCTAATGAGTTGAACCTAAGAAAAGGTGACACGCAAGCCATTTATAATTTTATGTGCCGTATGCAACTGACTAATCCACACTTCTTTTATTTGATGGATTTCAATGATGAAGGGCATTTGAGGAATGTATTATGGGTTGATGCAAGATCTAGGGCTGCATGTGGTTATTTTAGTGATGTCATTTATTTTGATGACACTTATTTGTCGAATAAATATGAAATCCCTCTCGTGGCTTTTGTTGGGATAAATCACCATGGTCAACCAGTGTTATTAGGTTGTGGTCTGCTTGCTGGGGAAACTACCAAATCTTATGCTTGGTTGTTTAGAACATGGGTTATGTGTATGTCAGGATGTTCTCCTCAAACTATTATTACAGATAGGTGCAAGGCTTTGCAGAGTGCAATTGCAGAAAATTTTCCCAAATCACATCATTGTTTTGGCTTGTCGTTAATTATGAAAAAAGTACCAGAAAAACTGGGAGGGTTGCGCAATTACGATGCAATCAGAAAAGCACTGGTTAGGGCCGTTTATGAAACTTTAAAAGTGATTGAATTTGAGGCAGCATGGGGCTTTATAATTCAACGTTTTGGACTTAGTGACCATGAGTGGCTTCGTTCCCTATATCAAGACCGAGTTCATTGGGCACCGGTATTTTTGAAGGACAAATTTTTTGGTGGAATGGCTGCGACACGCTCTGGTGAGAACCTTAGTCCATTTTTTGATAAATATGTGCACAAACAGACTCCTTTGAAAGAGTTTCTTGACAAGTATGAACTAGCTCTTCATAAAAAATACATGGAAGAATCTTTAGCAGATATTGAATCAAGAAGCTCAAGCCCCTTGCTGAAAACCAAGTGTTCTTTTGAACTGCAGCTCTCTAAAATGTACACAAGAGAAATATTCAGGAAGTTCCAACTTGAAGTGGGAGAAATGTTCTCTTGTTTTGGGACGACTCAATTACACGTGGATGGTCCCATCATAATCTTCTTGGTCAAAGAGCGTGTTTTGGTTGAGGGAAACAAACGGGAGATTAAGGATTTCGAAGTTTTGTACAGTAGATCGGTAGGTGAAGTTCGTTGTATTTGTTGTTGCTTTAATTTTTATGGATATCTATGCCGGCATGCATTGTGTGTACTCAACTTTAATGGGGTGGAAGAGATTCCTCCTAAGTACATTCTTTCAAGGTGGAAGAAAGATTACAAGCGCCTTTATAATCCTGATCACAACTCAGATAGTTCTGATAGTATTGGCAGTATTCAGTTGTGTAATAAGTTATTTAAAAGTGTCCTACAAGTTGTGGAGGAGGGAATGATTTCTGGAGACCATTACAATGTAGCGTTGCAGGCTTTTGAAGAATCACTTAATAAGGTTCATGACATAGAACAGAGACACGAGTAACAATCAATGTACTTTAGAAAACTAGTGTTGGTCTAATATGTTATATGCTATGTATATATTTATTTCTATAACTTCTATAGCTAAATATATCTCTAGTTAGTAGCATTTCCCGTGTCATTTCTGAAATAATTAACCAGTCTATCTAAATGTAAGTCATTTACATGTCAGTGTTACCGTGACAATTGAACAATTGACATATTTAACTATAGAGTCAAAATCAAACATTATGATATTGAGATCTTTGAAAATATTCAATCGTTTTCCTTATGCATGCATAATATATAAAAATATAATTAATCCCTGTTACCATTACATATGCTGAGAAACAGTTTTTTAAACGAAAATTGTTAAAATGTTATTTGTAATCTGCTATGTAACAAAATAGATTAAACAGTCTTATTTTGATTTATTGTGGATGATTTTTAAGAAAACATTAATTATAAATATCTTCTTAATGATTTTGCAACAAGAAATACACAACAATTATAATAATATGATCATGAGGGCACCATTCTTCTAGTTTGTCTAGGGCACCAAAACTTTTGGGGCCTACCTTGATTTACATGGCAGTGTTACCGCTGCAGGAGTTGAATAATTGACCTGCTGTTTCCTGAGTAAGTCCTTTTTTCCCTTTCCGTTGGTTCTGAAATGTCTTGAATACATCTATTAGAATATTATCTTTATCAAGTGAAGGTAGAAAGTTTCAAGGATATCAATTGAATTACCATACTTTTGATTAGAAATTGTCATCACTGGGCCTACTTTTTGTGATTGCAATGACATCTGATATGATAAATAGACTAGCAAGATGTGTTATTTTGTTTTTGGTATCATTTAGATGTTCATTGCATTATTGACCTTGTTTGAAATGATAAGAATTGATATGATAAATAGACTAGCAAGATGTGTTATTTTGTTTTTGGTATCATTTAGATGTTCATTGCATTATTGACCTTGTTTGAAATGATAAGAATTGATTTATTGAGAATTCTAGTATACCTTGTTTGAAATGATAAGAATTGATTTATTGAGAATTCTAGTATATATATTTTAGTAGTATTAAGGATAAAGAAGAAAAAGTCTTAGTGCAGGAAAAAGATATAAAGGATAGATGAAAGGTGTATTTCCATAATTTATTTAATGATGGACATGGGTATGACTCTAACAGACTAGACATAAAAGAAGAGGATCAGAATTATAGTTACTATCGTCGGATTCAGAAACAGAAGGTAAAGGAAACGTTGAAAAGAATGAGTAACGGTAAGACGGTGGGGCCAGACATCATACCTATTAAAGTATAGAAAATTCTTGGAGATAGAGGTATTGAGTGACTCACCAAACTCTTTAATGAAATTATGAAGTTAAAACATATGCGGATGAATGGAGGAGAAGCACTTTAGTTCATATCTATAAGAACAAAGGGGATATACAAAATTGTGCGAATTACAGGGGAGTCAAGCTTATGAGTCATACCGTGAAATTATGAAAAATAGTGATTGAACGGAGATTAAGAAAAGAGACTCAAATTACTGAGAATCAATTTGGTTTTATGCCGAGAAGGTCTACCATGGAAGTGATTTATCTATTACGGCGGGTGATGGAGCAATATCGAATGGATCAGCAAGACTTGCACTTGATTTTTATTGACTTAAAGAAGGCGTATGATAGAGTGCCTAGAGAGATTATGTGGAAAGCTCTAGAGAAGAAAGGGGTTGGGGTTGCATATATTCGAGATATCCAAGATATGTATGAAAGGGTATCAACTAGTGTTAGGACACATGGTGGAGAGACAGATGATTCTCCCATCACAAGGGTCAACCCTAAGCCCCTACTTTTTTACCTTAATTTTGAATGTACTCACGAAACAATTCCAAGAGATAGCACCGAGATGCATGTTTTTTGCAGATGATATAGTCCTCCTTGAAGAGTTGAGGGAGGAGTTAAATGAAATGTTGAAGACTTGGAGAAGAGCTTTAGAAACACATGATTTTTGCCTAAGTAAGAGTAAGTCTGAGTATATGGAATGTAAGTTCAACAAACGAAGTAAGGTTTCTAACTTAGAGGTGAAAGTAGGAGACCATATTATCCCTCAAGTCACACGGTCTAAATATCTTGGGCCCGTAATACAGGAGAAATAGAAGAGGATGTAAATCATCGTATTCAAACTGGATGGATGAAATGGAGAAAGGCATCGGGTGTTTTATGTGATGCAAAGGTACAACTCAAGCTAAAGGTAAAGTTTTATCGGACTGTGGTAAGACCTACGATTTTGTACGGGATAAAATGTTGGACGGTTAAGAACCAACACGAGAATAAAGTAGGTGTAGTGGAGATGAGGATGTTGCGGTGGATATGTGGTAAGATTCGACGAGATAAAATTAGAAATGAAATTATTAGAGAGAGTATTGGAGTAACACCTATTATAGAGAAGATGGTGGAAAATAGATTTAGGTGGTTTGGGCATGTAGAGAGAAGACCTGTAGACTCTGTAGTAAGGAGAGTAAACCAGATGGAGAGAAGACAAATTCGAAGAAGAGGAAGACCCAAAAAGACTATAAGATAAGTTATCAAGAAGGATCTTGAAATTAATGATTTAGATAGAAGCATGGTTCTTGATAGAATATTATGACGAAAGTTGATCTATGTAGTCGACCCCACTTAGTGGGATAAGACATAGTTATTGTTGTTGTATATTATAGTAGTATTACTAATCCATGTTACATACGAAATTTTATTGCATTTTTTATTACATATTTTGACCCATAAAAGGAGAAATAGCTTAACTCCTTGTATGTAATAGCAAATAATAATGTTATCTAGTACCATATGTACAACTTAGTTGGTAAAATGCTGCAGGGATTGTAATGTCCCTGGTTAAATAGAGTATTTATTTAATTAATTTAAATTATGGAGTTTGATGGTGATATGTGATTTTGATGATTTTGGTGAGAAATTATGATTTATGTGACGTTTAGAGGTGTTTTGAGAATTATGAGATAATTTAAAATAATTATAAGAATTAAGTTAGAATTATTTAATTAGAGAAAATAGAGTAATATTGGAGTTGGAGACAGAAAGGGCATATTGGTCATTAGCAAATAATTAGTGAGGACAATAATGGAAAACCATATTAGAGGTCCAAGGGTTACATAAGGAGAAAACAATTTTGTCAAATTTATTTTGTGCATTCGTGTTGAAAAAGAGGCAGAGAGAAAAGGCAAATAGCTAGGGATTTGAGGAGAACGAAAAAGGATCAGAAGGACACGAAGATAATTCAATAACAAGCAATAATCTAAGATAAAAGGAGTCTATCATGATTATTATGATTGGTTCATGATAATGCGATGATGTGATGGGAATTGATGAATTGGTGGTATGATGTTGTAATAGATTGATAACTGTAATACGGTGGGAGAACTGACTTGATGTTTTGCGTTTGTGTTTGCAAATGTCGTGGTTAGCAAGAGTCGCCACCGACTTTTCTTTTATTCAAAAGGAAAGGTGAAAAAGCACATGAAAGACCTTTAGAGATGTTTCTTGGGTTCGGGGGGTAGATTATGAAAAAGGAAGGTATTAACACCCTTTTCATCCATGGTTTTCCATGGGCTCTTAGTTACTTGCTAGATCACTTGTTTTTGTTTGAATGTGCGCTTGTGTGTGGATTTTGAAAGTATTTTGAAAATATAAGTTTGTAATGATTCTCGTTTCTCTAAGAACGCATACAAAGTGTTTGTTTCGAAAATGTTTTCAAGAAAGTGTTTGTGGAATGTGTTTTTTTTTAAGTATTTTGAAAATGGAACTTCATAATGGTTCTCGTTTCTATAAGAATGCATACAAAGTGTTTGTTTCAAATATAGTTCAAAGGTGAAAGTGTGGGTAAAAATGTTTTTGTTGTGAACAAGCGAGTAACTAAGAGCGAATCTACCTACTCGAAAGGTCTTAAATATGAGTTTCCTCCTCCTTTAGATGTGACTATCTTACCATTGATTTGGTAAGAAGTCCCATCGTTGGATGTGAATGGACGGGCGTTGGGACATTTGTATAGTCATAGAAGGCAACATATGGGACGTTTTAGCAATGTCATTTTAGGGACTAGATCGTTTACCAAAGGCAACATCGAGGGTCATCGAGGGACTACGATCTTTTATCGAATGGGTCTTTGTTAAAACACGCATGCTCGAGGGACATGACTATTTTCCGAAAGGAAACGAAGTGGGATTACCCTAAGGGTGCATGTGTGAATAGTGTATTAGTTTGCATGCATTTTGTCTTGTTTTTTGAAAGTCATCTATTTGTTGATTTCATCTTGCCATACATCCTATTTACTAGCAATATATGAAAAGCAAGTAAAAAATGCGGAAAATAAAATCCTAAGCTATTACATCACTTTAGGGGGTGGGGGGTACAAATTTACAATGGGGATGAAGTGGAGACTGAAATATTACAACCATATCGAATGATAATGGAAACAATGTAAAATAAAAAGAAAACTACATTTTGAACTGCTATGTGTCGACCCATGCTGCTATGCATCGACACATAGCTTCTTTCTGCCCATGTAAAACAAAATTAGTTCAGTATGGGTCGACACATAATGGGATGTGTCGACTCATGCACCTTCTTGTATCAACGCAAAATGCGTATGTATCGACTCATAGGCTTTTCCAGCTTATGTAAAGTGAAATTTGTTCAGTATGGGTCAACACATAATGAGATATGTCGACTCATGCACCTTTTTGCATCGACGCGAAATGCGTATGTGTCGACTCATAGTCCTTTCCAGTTGTTGTTTTGTGACCTGAACTCAGTATGGGTCGATGCATGAGGGTCATGTGTTGACTCATACCCTGTTTTTTCACTAGGATGAGTCGACACACAAGGATATGTGTCGATACATGCTTCATTTTCCTGCCTTAAATATTATTTTACTGAATGTACAGGTTAGCTTATGGCATATGATGGATAAACATGAACAACAAATGATTGAATAAGCCTAAACA